ATCCCAGGACCCTGGGATCATGACCTGAGCCGAAGGCAGACGCTTAACCAACTGAGCCACCCAGGCGCCCCTGCTATAATATGTTCTAAAAAATTATTCAGGCATTGCTAATCTGACAAAGTAACCAAGTAAAAAGGAAATCAAGACATTTTTAAAGTCCTATTAGTTGGGATCAAAAAATGCAACTCACAGGAAAAGAAGAGGAAATTCAGAAATAGATCCAAATACACAGACAAACTGAGTTTACAATAAAGTGGAAATACACACCAGTGGGAAAAGAGGAACTTTTTAATATGTGGCTTGGGGATAACTGGATAGCCATATTTAAAAAGATGAAATTAGATTTATTCCACATACCAGAATAAATTTCAGTGCATCGTTAAAAATGAGCAAAAACTGAACAGACATCCCACCAAAGAAAATACAGGCATTGCAAATAAACACATGAAAAGAGGCTCAATATAATTAGTTATTAGGGAAATATGAAATAAACCTTGACAGGCTATCACTACACATCTACCAAAATGATTAAAATTAAAGACTAATAATACCAAGTGTTAATGAGGATTTCAAACAACTGAATATCTCCTACACTGTTGGCAAAAACTCAAACTAGAAAACAGTTTGGCAGTTTCTTTTTTTTTTTTTTTAAGATTTTATTTATTCATTTGAGAGAGAGAGAATGAAAGACAGAGAGCACGAGAGGGAGGAGGGTCAGAGGGAGAAGCAGACTCCCCGCTGAGCAGGGAGCCCAATGCGGGACTCGATCCCGGGACTCCAGGACCATGACCTGAGCTGAAGGCAGTCGCTTAACCAACTGAGACACCCAGGTGCCCCTCTTTTTTTTTTTTTTAAAGATTTTATTTATTTATTCGACAGAGAAAGTGAGAGAGTACAAGTAGGGGGAGCAGTAGAGGGAGACAGAGAAGCAGGCTTCCCGCTGAGCAGGGAGCCTGATGTGGGGCTTGATCCAAGGACCCTGAGATCATGACCTGAGCCGAAGGCAGAGGCTTAACCATCTGAGCCACTCAGGTGCCCCAGTTTGGCAGTTTCTTATAAACTTAAATATACACTTACCATATGACCCAGCAATTCTACTCCTAGTTATTACCAAAAGAAATGAAAACATGTTCACTCAAAACTTGTACTAAAAAAAAAAATCAACTTTTTTCATAATAGCCAATAACTGGAAACAGTTCATAAGTCTACCAACTAGGGGCGCCTGGGTGGCTCAGTCGTTAAGCGTCTGCCTTCGGCTCAGGTCATGATCCCAGGGTCCTGGGATGGAGCCCCGCATAGGGCTCCCTGCTTGGCAGGGGGTCTGCTTCTCCCTCTGACCCTCCCCCGTCTCATGTGCTCTCTCTCTCTCATTCTCTCTGTCTCAAGTAAATAAATAAAATCTTAAAAAAAAAAAAAAAAGATGACCAGATTCCAGACTAAAACAGCAAATGCTGATTGCATGGTGCAATAAAGGTCATAATCAATGTAGAGGAAACAGTATAGCAAACCATATGGTTAAGAGTTAAGATTTAGATCCAAGTTTCAACCAGACAAGCTTCAGTAGCTATGAAGCTATGGATAAGTTATTTAACTTCTATCAGTCTCAGTTTCCTCATCTCTAAAATAGGAATAACAATGTCAATGTTACTGGATTATTGTGGGGATTAAAAGACATAAGTGAGTAAAAAAATTACACAACTCCTTTACAATAGGCTTACAATTTAAATTTTGCAGCTAAGATTTTTTTTAAACTGGGATACAGAAAAATCTTTACCAATTTTTCTAAGTGGAATTTTAGTAAATCTGTCTCAATTATTCCAAGTCAGTATATTCCCATTAGAACAGCCTAACCTACTTATTTAAATAAAAGTTTATCTCAATTTTTCATGTCCGGCATATATCTTATTTTCTGGAAGGTGGGGATTCCCACCTTTGATTCCTTTTTCCCCCAAACCCCAGCTCAAATAGTATGCCATAAATATATATCGACAATGTATGGAAATAACTTCCCTAGTAATCTGCCACTACAGAAAAGTACCACTTTGGAATTAACCAGTTGCAGAAAGTAACCAGGTGACAGACAGGATACTAGAAGTGTCCGTATGTATGGGCTTGACCCCTTAACAGATTACCTCTGAGAAGTTATGCTTTGACAGCTGGTTTCAAGACATTTTAACTCTCCCCACCTTGCATCAGCTGTTCTTACAGAAGGGAGTAACAAAGCCTAGCAAGTAAACTTAAAGAGTTTCTTATTAGCTTGTATTAAAGTGGCAGTCCCTAAAGATGGGGCAGATGAATCTTTGTACTTTATACATCAAACATGTAAACAAATCGCCTGTTTACAAAAATATTTCTAATAATTAACAACAAAAAATATACTTTGTAAAATCTAGCCTTTAAGTTATTTTTAAAACCATAATAACTAGATTAAAATGTTTAATCACTGGTTATTTAGATAAAGCAGAAAGAAATACTAAGCTTGTGTCTATCCAAAGTACATTTTACTGAATGTAGATGATTATGATGTCATATGAAACTTTTACCCCTAAATTTTCACAAACAGTACTCAACATTTTATAAAGGTTTTCATTTATAAATTTCCCTAATCTTACTCTACATGAACTAAAACTAAGACATAACATTAAATGATGTCCATCTAAATATGAATTAGAAAAAAATGTTAATGCCATAGGTTCCAAAACAACACTCTCTCTCAGTTTGGTTATAACTGAAATATTTTAAAACATGACATCAGCTTGATTGCCCAGACTACATTTTACTGAACTGGAGTAAGCAGAATTGCTAAATGAGAATAGCCTTTATTGGATTTATTGATTTGTGGGTTATTGGTCACTGACTGAAATGATATGAACATTGCAATAAATCATATTTATGAAGATTAACATAGGCATTTTCCTAAATATGGTAAAAACTTTGATTAATACAGATTTAGAGCAGAATTTTAACAACTACAGAAATGTGAAATGAAGGCTGTTTTCAGCAACACTAACTATAGTGGCATTATACTAATTTTATACTTTGACCCAATTATAAATGACTTAAAGTCAGTATAAGAGAAGTTTCTAGGGGCGCCTGGGTGGCTGAGTCATTAAGCATCTGCCTTCGGCTCAGGTCATGATCCCAGG